ACACACACACACACACACACACACACACACACACACACACACACACACACACACACACACACACGCAGATTTTCATTTCAGATGCGACCTCATTAAGACAACATTAACACGCCTCTTATCATTCCATCTCTGTGCCTGCTTTATGTAATGAAGGCAGTGAATAATGGATGATAGCATGCTGGTAAACGGCACTCATGCTTGCATGGTCTCACAGGGCTTTTAATGGGCGTGGATGGACCAGTAAACAAACTGGTGGCAACAGCAGGGATGTGTGTCAGGTTTGTGTGTGTGTCAGTGCTGAAGCATGTTTCCCCCTGTCACCGAGTCCTAAAATTTATAGCTCTTTGCATCAAATATATGCTGGAAGTCTTTACTTTTTGAGGCCAATTAAAGAGAATTTAAATAGTTTCTTTTCTTCTTCCTCCTCAGATCAGACACAAAACAGCACGGTGGGTTTCTTTGTAAGGCCACTTGGGGGCACTGTTGCTCTCAGCATCACACGTCCTGTGCTTTGACTTTATAAAAGAAAGCCTCATCAGGCTTCCTTTTAATGTTTTCTTTATTCTCGTTTGTCTGCTTTTTATTTCACACATCTCTCGCCACTTCTTCTTCTTTAATTGTCATCCCACCTCTGCTGCTGAACAACCCTGCAGACACCAGCACCTCCGCCTGCAAAGTAAGTACATCAAGTGTGAATATGTCCTTTAATGAACCAAGCCTAAGCACTTCTAAAATATTTCCTGTTATTATAAAGACATAAACATATTTTGTATTCTGGGTTGCATTAATATTTAAGGTGTCAAATTAATAGGAATAAAATAAGTAATTTAGATTATTTAATCATGTGTTGTGTTTATTTGTTGTTTTTCAGACGCGACTGGTATCAAACAGAATCTCAAGTCATTGTCACAGTTATGGCAAAAAATGTTCCCAAGGATGGCGTGTGTGTCAGCTTCACAGAAAGAGAGGTACGAAACCACCCTGGAATGCAGCACTGAGGTGAAGACAGTCTGTTTTCCCTCCACATGTGTGCAACAAAGACATGTTAGCTCTGGGGTGTTTCCTCGAGGGGCCCCATTAGAAGGGTCTCGTACGCCTGTAGACACCCACACACACACAGACACATTCCTCCCCACAGACCCAAACATCCCTCCAGTGGTGCCTTGTTAACATTGCCCCCAAAGTACAGATCTAAGAACAATTTACCCTTCCCAGTTTCTCCAACCTCCTAATTGTCTGTAGATGGAAGGCATAACTGTTCTTGGATCAGCCGCAGAGCCCCCTTCAGGGACAGCCCTCTTTTTGTGTGTGTGTGTGTGTGTGTGTGTGTGTGTGTGTGTTTTCCTTCTCTTCCTTTCCGTCTTGCCACTTGTCACCCCATCCTCCCCTCTCTGAGGGGTAACTTCAGGGCACCCCTGGGAGCAGCTTTGTCTTTCCTAATAAAATAACAAACTGAGTTTACCCCATTTCAAAAGAAATAGTTCACTTGCTCCAAATAACACTCATTAAGCTGTCTATGTGGTGCGGAGTACAGATAAATTCATATATTTTTTACTAGGTCAGTACATACAAAAGAAATTAAAGATGAAAGGCAGCGGTTTCATTTCTTTTCTCTGGTGACTGAACATGCAGCAGCTGTATACCTACAGTATGCTCAGAAATTCAACTGGAAATGAATAATAAGGTTTAGATAATAAGTTTTGCTAAAAAGCAACTTTTGCTGTGCTTTTATCTCCGACAAAGAACTTCTTAAATTCATTTGTTTTCAAATCGAAGCTTTAAATAAATTTGCATAGCCGTAATGTATAGTTAATTCAGACAAAATGGAGTACAATGTGGCACTTTTACAAAACGATCTTCCTCTGAACAGACCTGACACCCACAATGAACCGTAGTGCTGAATGACAAGTTGTTAGGAGCTGTGTGACCTCCACCACCACTACATACACCCCCTCCCTGATTCTGGTCCCACTGTGGCTGAGGGGGACAGGATGAAGATACTCGGAGCAGTTCAGCAGCCACATCAGATAATAATCTTCACAGACACGCTGACACCTTCACTCCCTCCTCTCTTCTGTTGTTTTGAACAGTTTCTGTGAACCGCAGTTAGGTAAAATGCAAACGTTCGAGCAACAATTTTAACACAACTAAAAAGTTGTACGTTTAATTAAAAAAAGTCATTAGGGGTGTTTCAAGTGCGATAAAGGAGGCTTATTAGAATTTGGTTGTTTAAGTTTCACAAATTTTGATCAGGAATCAGGAATGGCGAGCTCTAACGTTTAGTGGCGGTTCACTGTACAACGTAAACAAAATGTTCAAAAGAAAATAATGAAAAATGTCCAAAATGGGATTTTGGGAAAAACATTGAAAAAAGCAGGCAGTGGTGGGCAGCGCTAATCGAAACGTTAGTTGCGCACGTTCTAAAGGGCTTGTCCTCAGTAGAACTTAGCAGAAGCTAATTCTAAAGCAGAAAATTGACTCAGAGTTCACCAGAGTATATTCCAGTGATAAGATAAGACACTCCTGAGAAATACTTCCAACTAGAGACATAATTTGACCTCAACAGCGTTGCACATATCGCCGCAGTTTGGGAAGGTGATTTGTTGAAACAGACTTTCAGCTCATGATGATAATTTGCATCATAAGCGTGCTGTACTCTCTTCTACCTGGAACCATCAGAGAGGAGGTACAAACTGCGGTTGAGCTTGGTTCTGTGCGGTTGGAACCTGGAGACCCATTTTGTCGAAGCCGAACTGAGCAGAACCACATCAGGCGCATCGGTGGAGAAGGGCTGGGACTGGTAGTAACGCCCAGTGACGTAGCTCCAATTGCTTCCTGCCACGTAACTGCAAAGACTTGTGGGAATTGTCTCGTATATGAAAACTGTGGCCCAGAAGGACAGTCAGCAGTGGTCCCCAACCTTTTTCACAATACTGACCAGTTTATTGTCACACACATTTTCACGGACCGGCAAGGTATGACAGATGAATACAACAAAATGAAATGACAGCTTACTACCAACACAAGAACTAGTATTTTGTAAATATAATAATAAAGTCAATCCACCCACTTTGTCCTTGTATGTAACCTTATTAGCAGCGTCTTCCTTGACATGTGCCAACAACTTTGCCCCTTTTCCTTTGTAAGAAACTTTCCAAAGACGTCTGTTTTCACTGAGACAAGCATCTTGACGCGTCAAGAGGGAGTCATAGACAGATGTAAAAAAGAGAATCCGGTCATTTTTCAAAATAAAACCTTGTTCAGACTCGAAATGGAAATAATATAAGTTATTTATTCTTTCTATGCAGTCCGGTACCAAACGACCCACGGACTAGTCCTGGGCCATTGCCTGGGGGTTGGAGAATGCTGAGCTAGAGTATACAGGTGCTGGTCATAAAATTAGAATATCATGAAAAAGTAGATTTATTTCAGTAATTCCATTTAAAAAGTGAAACTTGTATATTATATTCAT